CAAATTCGCCAATTCGAGCGTGAGAGTTTAATCGGCGACGGCGGAGCGTGAAGCCGCGCATGAGAGCGGAGACCGTTTTAGCGTAGAGCCGGCGCAGCCATCAATTGAGTCGTCCTTCACGAGCAAGAGCCGACCATGACCTTCGACCGGGAGACGGAAAGCGCCCCATTCTTGAATTCGCGATTCCATTCTCTAGTGCGAGCTGCGCGCGTCCACCTGCTGGCTGCTAAGCATTCTCGACATCGCCGCGCAGAGGATTTCTTGGTAATTGAGGGAGAAGTGAGTGCGCGTGATTTGGAATTGAGGGAGATTAGAGTTTGCCGAGGAAGAAAGGAGCTCGAGCGGAGTGGAAGGAGAATTAGCAAGTAGGCGAACTCCAAGAACGCAATGACGAGACTGGGCCGATTGCGGATGCTGCCGCTCCGACTACCACAGAACGGGCTGCGCGCTTTCGAGGAGCGCCTGATAGCAAGAAAGCTCGATTTCTTGCTATGCGGATGGAACTACATCTGTGTGGATATGGTGCGCGAGTGGCTAGAGCCACAGGGACCACCTACGCGCGGATTGCGGCCGAATGTTGATCGATGGACGGTCCAAGATTGGGCGCAGGCATTGGGGAGATGTGTCGGCATCCCAGGGCACCTCCTCTTCGATAGTGAGAGCGTCAAGGTGTCCAAGCAGGAAGAGGCGCAATTTGTGGAGCTGTTCAAGAAGGGGAAGTCTACCAAGAATGGGTACAAGACCCGCGATTACAAGGATCGATTCCGCCGAATTTTGGCTACGGCGCTGCTGCAATTACTGCAGCCACACCGCGCCTGCTACATCACATTGTGGCAGGTCTCTTTTGTGGAGTGCATCATCGAGGGAACTCCGATTCACTGGGCGAGCATCCTACACAAGGTGATGCGACAACACGCTTTTGAGGAGAAGGGGGAAACTCTAAATCATCTCTCTCCTTTCCTCATCAATTTTTATCGACAGCGAAATTGTTTGACCGCGGCGGAGCTTGCTCGTTTTCCGCCGTTGTCCGTCGACCATCCCGGGAGGTATGTGCGGGAGAATGAGGTCGACACTGATGCAGAGGAGTCGCCGACTTCTACTCCGTCAAGGCGGAGGGACGAAGGGAGAAATACTCCTGCAGCAAGAGTGCCGCGGAAGCGGCGATGGAGAGAGGAGTTCGAAGAGGAGCAGCATCAAGAACCCACTGCTCCCATTCGACCGCGGCCGTTGTACGAATCGTACAGCCGGCCGAAGCAGAAGGCGCGCAGGCTTGTGTTACCAGCCAGCAGCGCGGACACGGCGACGATTGCCACGGAGAAAGGAAGTGCGTCGCCAGAGAAGATCGAGGGAGCGCGGACGTCTGCAGGAGCAACGGACCACGCTGCACCCTCGACGGACGAGAGGCCGCCTACGGGCCAAGGGCCTCCGGAGTTACCACGTGCATTGCGGACAGGTGTTCCGCCTGCGCACAGGCGAGCCTCGACGGACGGGCGAGCCTCGACGGACAGACGACCACAAGCGGACGTGGACCTACGCCTACGCGTGGGAAGAAGCAGTCCGCCTGTGCACAGGTCGCCTCAACACGTGCCGCCTGTGCACAGGCAGGAATCACCCCCGTTCCAACGTAGGAAGGGGAAGGAGCCGGCGGAAGATCCGCCTACGGGACACAGGCCTTCGGGGCCAGACCCTCCGGCGCACAACGCGCCGCGATTTGCGCCTTCGGCGCCAGGGCCTTCGGGCCGAGGAGATGCGAGCAGGGAGCATGCGGAGGCTGCACCATCGGCGGGTAGTCCGCCGGTAGATGCGCCTTCGGCGGTAGGGCCTACGGGCCAAGGGACATCGGGCGAGCGGCCCCCGGCTATATCGCCTTTGGCGATAGACGCCTTCGGCGCTACGCCTGCGGCGGACAAGGCGCCGGCATTTGCGCCTGCGCACAGGCCAGGCACAGCCCCCACGCAGGACCGATCGAGGGAGCAGCACCTGACGGAGGAGCGGATTGACTTTCCGCGGGACGAAATTTCGGTGCGCGATGCGCAATCAAACCCCGCGCAGACACCCTCCGCTCGATCGCCTTCGGCGGCGGACGTCGGCGGTAGGGAGGATACGGTAGAAGACCAACAAGTGGGCGACGGGGATGTAGCACGGCCACATTCGCCCACCGCCTTAGACATTTTGGCGAAGAGCAGCGAGGCTGCAGCGGTGCCTTCGCAGGCAGCACACGTCGACGACGTGCAGCCCCACTCGGGACAGTCGCCAACGCAATCAATGGCGACTGAAATCCTCAACTCGGATGATGACGACGGAGGCTCCAGCGAAGCAATGTCGGGAGCAGGGGATACCGAGGAGGAGGAGGAGGAAATTGTTGGAGCGCCGGCGGCGGCGCTCTCTGAGCAGGTGATTCCGTTGCTGAAGTACTTGGATCGCAGATTCGATAAATACGCCGATCCACTTTAGCCGGGATCTTACATCGAATTAGTGCGCAGGCGGACTCGCACTAAAGTCCACACTAGCAAGCTACTAGCTAGGGTGGACCAGGAGTTGAAGGAATTGAGGGAGAAGCATACCTGTTTATGGGGGCAGTACAACCTTGAGAGTAAATCGCACGCCCTCGACAGGATGCGGAAGGAGAGATTGGAAGAGCTCACCAGGGATGTGGTGCAGACCACGCAGGATTTGATGTCTGAGAAAACTCAGAATCAGATTCTGTCAGAAGAGCTCGTGCGACAGACGCGTTTGTTGGCGGAGTGTCAGATCGCACGGCAGGCGGATGAGGATTTAATCCGCAGGCTACAGTCAGAGTGTGGCGAATTGAGAGCACAGCGTGCGGAGGCCGAATCGCAATTAGTGGTAATTGAAGAGGATCGCAGGCGAGAGGCAGATCGCACGAAGGAGGAGACGGCGAGGCGTGTCGCCCACTGTCTCAAGGGCTACGCCCACTGGGAAGTGGCGGCGCAGGAGAAACTCACACTGCGTGAGTTTGAACTTCGCGCAGCAGGGTTGTTGGCAGGCGACAGCAGGAGTCAGCGGAAGGTAGCGAAGAAGCTCGACGCTTTTCTGTCGAAGGCGCGCGATACCATGTCCACCCTCGAGGTGGAGGTGTCCGCGGCGTTGCAGCGGTTGGGACTGCGCAGTCGAGCGGAAGACTGGCAGGGTAGGGAGTTAGTGCGCGGCAATCCGTCGCGCATGCGACGTAGCACCGGTTCCGCGGAGTGTAGTGTAGCGTGGTTCCGTGCAGGCGTGTAGCGTAGTGCTGTGTAGTGCTAGTTAGGACTTAGAAGGTATAAAATAGTTCCAGGCGTTTTGCCTTGGGTTCTTTCCCAAACTCAGAAGTGCACATCAGGAACCCATTTTCTCTGCGTGTTTGTGTCCTTAAGTTCTGTCACCACGCAAGAGGAGTTACAACTTAGCGTTCCGCATTTTGTAGCTGAAGGTCTTCGGCCGAATGTTTAGAGCTAGTACATTGGTTAGAGACTTGAGTAGTTCGGATCTGCACCTGCGGGTGACTGCCGATGCTCAGAGCTAGTGACTAGTTAGATACTTGAACAGTTTCGCCCCTACACCTTCGAGTGTTTGTTTCTGATTGTACTCCTTCGGGATTTTTCCCCTGAATGCCAAAGTGAAGTTTTGCTACTTCGTGTAAGCCTTGGTTGTAATTCAGGTTACTCTGCAGCAGGTGCCTTCAGGGTAACCCCTGTAGTATTTCTGGGAATGACAAGTGCCTGAGAATTCAAACTCTTCAATAGACTGTTATTGTGTTACTGAAATGTTTCTCAGTGAGCCCTTCAGTGCGGACCTGTGTTCTCTGCGCGTTTTGTGAGTTGAGAGTGTTGTTCACCGCGTATGAGTGACTTCGATCCGAAGTAGGCAGTCCAAACCGGGTTTCCTACACTAGCAGCAAGCTAGTGGAAGTGTTGTAAAAGCCAGAGTTGGAAGTCACTACCCGCAGCTTCGCTGAGTGTGTTCGCGAGAGACTTTCCCCCTGAAATCTTGAGTAGAGGTCCTAACGGATCTCTGGGTTGTGTTTCTGTAGTTTCAGGTGTGTGTGTGTGTTAAGCTGCACTGTGCGACCTCCGAGTGCGCTCCGAGTGGACACTTGCAGTATTTCTGGGAGTGACAGTCGCCTGAGAATTCAAACTCCTCAATAGTCTGTTAAACGTGACACTTTGTACCCTGTGTGTTCCTCTGTCCCTGTGGGTTCGACCTTTCTACCACGATATTGCAGTTTTAGCCTTTACTGGGTTATTACAATTGCATGTATATGTTGTTCTGAAGTGAGCAGGATCTTGCATGTCTGTTAAATGGTGCCCCAACGCGTAGGACATGGATAAACAAGGCTTTGAGCACCCGAAGCAATTTGTATCTCTTTGAGCTGCGCCCTGATCATATGGTGATTGTGAAAGAAAATCACGATATCTTTGCAGTTGTTGATGAAAAGTAGCATCTCCTTGAACGGATAGTCGACCGGATACGTCGCCGTGTTGTTGCCCGCTTTTTTGGTCTTTGTCGCATAAAAGATGTCCTTCACAAACAGATGCAACCCGTGTGATGTGCAGCCTTAGAAGAAGCGGGACGAGAACTTGGCGCGTAGCACTGTCCAAGCCTTCTTGTTCGTGCTCGTGTTATCCGTCAACGCGCCTACAAACGTCGTGATCTCGTACGTCTTGAACACACGTTCAACATCGCTAGCGAGGAACTTGTGGTCGTGTCCTTGCTGGCCCGTGAACACTGCCTCCATGTACAAACAGGAATCGGGAGAGACGACCATATAGTTAATCACTGCGTTGTTTTTTAAGTTGGACCACTTGTCAGTGATGAGGCAAAGAACCTCTCATTCGAGCGTTAACCTTCGCTTTCAGATCTTCGTGGCTCTTGTCGAGAAGGGACGTCGCCAGCTGATGAGTCGGCAGCAATCCATCATCGAAGCGAAGTACTTTCACCGCCTCCACTAAATGGATATCTCCAATCTTCTGGAAAGAGGTGCAAGTTGCAAAATATTGCATTGCCATCTGCTTCTGAAACTCTTGTTTCTTAGAAGTAAATAACCTTCGGGAGCACATACAGTTTCATTGATCTTTGAACACTACTGCTGGCAGCCTGACTCATATTTGGCAACTCTGTACGCTCTACATAGACTAGCTTTTTGTTGCTTATAAACCAGTTAGGACGATCTACATCTTCCAGTCCATTTATGAACGTGCGGAACTTCCGACACTTGTTGAGGTGCTTCTTATCGGCTTCAGTCTTCTTGTGATGATTCACAAGGTTGCCACAGTGCTTGCATCTAACACCTTTTGGCATTCTGTGGATAGGCATCATTCGTGAATAAGGTCCACACGGTGCTCGTAGAGCGACCGCGCTTGCACTCCTTTGTTTCATCCAATTCTACAGTAACGAGTTCCATAGCAGCATCAATTGCGTCGCCATCAATCAAAGATTCTGCAAAAACAAAGACTACAAAGTCACTCTTAGTTTGTGGGCTGGTGGCGAGTCGAGCTGACATGCACATCCAAATTCGGAAATCGAGCAATCAAATTCAAAGCATGCGGCGACGGATTGCATCGTGCACCTAACTGACAGAAGGGAGAGCTGCATTTGCGGATTCGGCAGCAGGCCTGCAGCCAACACTAGAAACTCAATTAGATTGGATTGCGTCGCGCACCTGATAGACAGAATGAAGAGCTGCAGCTGCGGATTTGGCAGCAGACCCGCAGCCAGCACCAGAAATTCGACGGTCAGTAATCCAATTTCGGCTCAACTCGTCGACATTGAGAGTGAATAATCACCCAAGACCCGCGCTAGATCCTATCCAGCGAGGCGACGAATTGAAGTATACAGACGGCGATATAACAATATCATCATCATAGGACCCACCTCATGAAAACCTCATTTATGTGATATTAAAATCATCGGGTTAAACACTTAAACCGAATTAAACCTCACCTGATTTCACCGCACTGTGCCAGCCTTGATGATAATGCTCCTTTGTGGTGCTATAACAACGTTGTTTTTCAGATTGGTGCAATGAAATCTGAAAAGAATTACTTGATTAATTTATAAAACCTTAGGATGTCAAAAGAAAATATGTTCTCACTACAAAGCAACACAACTTACAACTTGCTATCATTATCAATCATCATTCTTCAAGTGTTTTTTTTCAAACTCTTTTAGCTTAGACAGTTACTTGATCTAGAAGTTGGTTCAATTATGTTTCAAATTGAGTTTTAAAACTTAAACCATTGGATTTTTACCAATTACATCCCACCATTCCTACAAGCGTGTAGCGGATTCATAGATGCGCGGAAAAGTCTTTATCTTTCCACTTTACACCCGAGCCTCTTAAAATGCTCATATGTAGATCTACGGTGTGGAGACTTTGATTTACCACTTTGAGAATCCAAAATAAACAAGGATTTCTCTTTACCGTATCTGGTTCTCTTCTTTACGGAAATAATATCAATTCTGGTGCTAATTTTCCTACCTCTGCAGCTATCGTTGTACACTTCTACCCTATTTGGGAAGCTGCTTCTGTTGATGAATGGTTGTACAACGGTGATCCTTACGAACTTTTTCATAATATGTTGAATTAGATATACTTCTTATCTTCTCTTGCTGTAAGAGATGCTAAAAGTTCAGTAGCGATAAAGACTGAGAAAAAGTCGAATACGATTCACTTTCAAATTTTTTATCAACTGAGCAATGAGCTTTAATTTTTTTCATTTTGCATCTTTAATTTCAGCATACGAGTGCAAAAAATGCAATATGACTTGCATCATTTTAGTAAATATGTCAATTATTTGTGCTCACATGTAAGTTTGTCTTATCAACTAGACTGTGCAACATATCAACATATAAGAAGTTATGAAGCATTTATCTGAAATCAGTATTTTCGAAGCCATGCATAGAACACACTTGCAAGAAAGCTCGAATTATGTAACCTCTTGAGAGGATTCATCTTGACTTTACCAAGTATCATGCAGGTTCTATCGCGTCCTATATCAGAATTTGGTTGGAACAAGCTTGCCATCAGCTAACTCGAGAAAGAGAGGATTGACAGTCTCACACGTTTAGCTTCGATTGTTGAGAAGCTCTGCAGCAAATGGAGGTGTGTGGAAACTAATTACTTTACAATATTAAAATTATTCATGAGGATCTTCGAATTTAAGCATACTTCAAGGGTTTGTCGAACACTGAAGCCATGTAAATCGATCTACTATCGAAAAGCTGTAGAAAATTTAATTACTATTATTCTTGTAAAGGAAAAAATAATCTAAAAGATAAGAGTTCCACATTGCAAAATCACAATCTTGGGCATATCCACAATGTCTTTTCTTTGCGCTTTATTTTAACGGAATGAATTCTCTGACTAATATTAAACTCTCCAATATTAAATTTTTCGACTCAAGTTGTTCCACATGGAAAAGGTCCGGAAAGCTTGCGTATCAAACCTCAGAAAGTGCTGCTCACAGCTGTCAAGAGTTGTTGTGAAAAGTGAGTGAGATTCCAGATGCACGTGTCCACTACAGCTGAATAGTAATTCTTTTCCACAGCTGTATTATTGTCCACTCGTGTAAATCACAAGGTTGACTTTATTTACCTTATGCAATCCACGTGCTATCATGAAGAATACACAAGTGGATACGACGTCTGGTTACACGCCGAAAATACAAAAACTTTATGGAAGGTTCCATCAACCTCTTCATTCTGAGACTACAGGAATGCCCGATATCATAACGAATGTATTCATTAAAGAATCACCGACTTACACCAGGTAATTAAGGTTTTGGCTAGAATAACCCCGACTGTATGCTTTCAGGGCTGACGTATATGTACACCGTAACCGTAGGGATGGCGTATACTTTACCTTCACCGGGGTTTCGCGCTTCCCGCACAAGACGAGACCGGCCGGCTTTGTCGTCTAGCATTTACTGTGACGCATTTCTTGTCTCGATTGTCGATGGCGGATCAGGCTAGCACGGAGTCTGCAAGAATTAAGAAGCGAGGAAACGAAGCGCTCTAGACTCGATTAGAGTGATGGACTGTGTGAGAATTTGGGGAAGTTTGCATCTTGTCTGATCCCTGAGAATAGAGGAGAGGTTAGGGAGCAGTATCGAACTTACTGAGAACCTAACCTGAGGCTTCTAGAATCCATGGACGTGTCAAATCGCGGTTCTTTGTATTCGGTGAGTTGAAAAGCTATGATGGAGGTCCCGCAGGCACCCGGATAAGTATCAGGTCAGAATTCTCACGGTCGTGACGATGTGTTGCTGTTGCATAAACTTTCTGGAAATTCGCTCGTGCTCTGCCGAGACTGACCTGTCGATTACATCAATCAATCTCGGAGATGTCTTCTCTCCGATGCAGCTTCCCCATCGATAGACAGGCATTCTCTCTTCTCGAGAGTGCCTGTCGAGCATTGGACAACTGTGAATGGAGGAGTTCAACACTGAGGATCTTGCGGTGCACAGTCCTCTGAAAGTATCATCAGCCGAGAAGCGAAGAGCTCCATGGTCCAGTCACTCTCCTTATTTCTGGTTTCTCTCGAGCGGGAATTGGGGCATCGATTTCAGCGCACACAACAGGCTATTTTGCGTGACACAATTTGGACGGCCCGGACAACTCTGTCGATAACGACATCGTCCTCCGTAGCTCAATCAATTTCTTTGCTTGGAATTGTGCGTTTGCGTTCCTGCGAGATCATACTTTCCCAAACTCTCACATGAAAGCGATGATGGAGGTCCCGCAGCGTGGACAGGCGATGGTTCGTTCATCTTTGAATGCGAGACTGTTGAGAATGTGCTCATCTTTGTACCCGTCTATCCACCAACCTTTTCAGATTAAATGGCATAATTAGGAGCGTTCTCTCCGTTCGGCTCGTCCACGACGAGAATAATACACACAAATGTTGCAGCTGCTGCACGAGACTGTTCCTCTATCCACGAGGCAAAGGTTCGCACCATGATTAAGAATTAAGAAAACTCGTAATAACCAAAGTCTGAACTTGCAACCAAAATATGAGTCCATATATTCGAGTATAATGTTTTGAGACCAAGAAATTTCTACGAAAGTTGTGTAAAATTTCAGCACACTTCTGGAAATTTAGAACCCCATGCCTTGAGCGACATGACAGACGGGATTACTCACCTCCAAGCAGAAGCCGCGATAGCTGAGAACTGCCAAGTCGACTTTGGCGATGCGACCTTATCAGTAAACAGAGTGTCCCCATCGGCTGTCACTCCTCTGTTCTCATCCTTGGGAAAAAGAAACTTATTAACTGTAAATACGGATTGATACGGGTTTTCCAAATTCCCCGCTCGAAAAAATTCTTGTGAATTTCGATTTACATCATCGAGACATGGCTTGCCCTACCCTGTCCAAGCTTCTCCTTCTCGCTCGGGGCCAAATTTATTTGCATGATTTTGAAGGTACTAACCGCAATAAACTTAATGTACCTGCGGATGTGGTGCGGAGAGTTCGTTCTTGAGTCTATTTCTTAAGCCCCTGACCTATTGTGATGTTCGTTTGCTTAGGAAACTCAAACCCGAATCAATGATTTTTGAACGCTCAACTGAACTCAGTGACATTCCGCTTGACAGACTTGGTCAGTTACTCCCAATCTGCTTCCGCTGCCATTATTGTCTTTCGTTACTTCAATTGGTTAAGTCCAGTTACGGTCGCCTGCGATGTGTGAACATGGTGAGCCGCGGGTTGCAGAATCGATGGCTATTCTGCAACGCTTGTTGCTGAGAATGGCCGCCCCCGAAGAGCATGTTGTTCATGTGATTCGCAATAGCCCCGATCGGACAGACGAGCGCAGAGCTGCCTGCGTGCTGTTGCTCGTGCTGCCTTGGCTTGCGTGGTTCGCTCGGCCTTCGGGGCTTCGGCTTGTATTGCCTCACTCTGGGCCGGGCTCGCGTCGCTTTCTATCGCGCCGACACGTGTCTCAGATCGGTTGTCAATGTGTGGAATTTGAATACAAAGGGTGCGCGCTCGACGGTGACAAAGAGATACCGTCACGACGGTTACCGTATTCCGTCAACCCACAGTCAGACTGTCGGGGTTGTTCTAGCCTGTAGTGTAAGAAGCATTGCATGTTGACTTATGTGAATCTCTGGGTCCCTGCAAATACTCTGCGACTTAAGAAGCAAGACGGTTGAGGGACCCCCTCCGATTGTAGCCAGAGACATTCAGGTTCCAGAGATTTTCACCCTTCTACACCTGTGTTAGCGACGAATTCAAGAGGAAGATTAAAAAAACCTTCTCGCTTGTATCATCATGATACAACTCGTAGATTCGCTGGGAGGGAGATCACGACCCATCTCATGTGACTTAATATGGAAGCTTTATTTAGCAATTTGTTGCATGCAGTGGGGTCTGTGATCTTGGAACGCTGATCGGACCAATTTTCTGTTCCATGTCAAGCTATATTTAAAGTCCTTAATATGTGTATGACCACTTGATTGTACAAGCAAAACGTAGCATAAGAATAAAGCCTAAGAAAGGATCTTTTAGAACTGAGTTGTAATAAATTTCGGTTATAATATAATATAATATAAACCGGTTATTTCGGTTTTTATAATATTTCATCTCTATATCTGAGGGCGCCGTTGGTCTTGTGGGAGGATGGCTCCAGAAGATGCACTATGAAATTTTTTATAAAAAAAAAACTAAAACAAGAGGTGCAGTTATCTTCTCACAATTGTTATGGACTATTAGATCTGGACGAGTAGATCACGAAAAAGACCTTCACAAACCCCAACCAAGGATTACAACAACATTCCGATCCAGACTCATAGTGAGAATTGAACAATATAAGATAAGTGGGAGCCCGTGTCATCTCCTGAATTACCCTGCCCAAGTACTGTAGAACCTCGTCAGAAGGTTGGATTGGCGTATATCCAGTGTTTCCCTACCCGGAGCATGCCATCACACACTACCCAGTCCTAACAGTGGTTATTCTACACAAACGTTATACAAGTAAACAAGACCATGTGTAGATCCTCCCAATACACACTAAATTACATTCATCACAATTTTTCAGTTGAAAACGGATCTCAGATTTTCCTTTCACAAACTTACGGATCTCATCCTCCCAATACACACTAAATTACATTCATCACAATTTTTCAGCTGAAAACGTATCTCAAATTTTACTTTCCCATCCTCCCAATACACACTAGATTACATTCATCACAATTTTTCAGCTGAAAACGGATCTCAAATTTTCCTTTCACAAACTTACGAATCGCACCCTACAGCGCTCACAGATCTAGCAAGAACCCAAGCCTAAGGTTACACACAAAAAGCGCAAGAGCTGCAAAACATAACCAATTTGCTTAAACAAGCAAAAAAAAAGTCCCATACAAAATCATTTAAAACTAAATTTCCAAACCTAACTGCGGCGGCCGTGACCGTTTTCAAACCCTAGCCGCCACCAAAAATTTCGAGACTCTACTTTCCAAGAATTCCAGATCTGACTCCCACTTGGTCAATGCTTTCTGCCGCTAGCAGCCTAATGTACCTAACCTAGTCTAATAGAGCCTATTCAAGTATTCTAAAAGCCCTAGATCTATACTTAGAAATTTTGGAT